TTTGCTTGCTGACTGGCAGGAGAAGGCCTGGCTGTCCAGGGCGATGGCCAGTGAGGGAAACTTCGGTCCCACTGGGACAAGAGAGGTGAAAAGGGAGCTGCCTGATGCAGAAACACCATCCATCTCTGCTCCGGACGAGATGGGCCAGCTGCCAGACATGACTTCTCCTGGCCCTCCAGGACAGGGGGAAAGAGAACCCCGTGATGCTGCCGGACGAGCGATAAAGGAGGAGCGGGATGTCCAGCGTGGCAGTGATGGACACGAGGCCAAACGAGTCCCTCCTGTTTCCAGCAAGGGAGCAGGCAAAGCCAATGAATTCTCATCCCTCTCCTTTCCAGAGAAGCTTTGGAAAATGCTGGAAAGCGACGAGTTTCGGTCCATTTGGTGGAGTGAGGGTGGAAAATATGTGGCCATCAATGAAAAACTCTTCGAAGAGGAGGTGCTGGGCAGGGAAAGACCTCTGCGGGTTTTTGCCACGCAGAAGATGAAGAGCTTCCTTCGACAGCTCAACCTCTATGGATTCACCAAAGTGCGACGGGATTTCCAAAGATCTGCTTCCCTGCCTGAATTCCTGGCAGAAGAAGACGCAGCTTCTGCTCACAGCCAGGTACGGCAGTTGCTCTGCACATCAACTAACACTTACAATAGTCTTGGGGAAGAGAAGGACCTTCACATCAAATCAGGCCTCGCAATAGAAGTGACGGGGTTGGTAGTGAGCAGTTTTTAATTTCCTTCTCAGGTCCTTTTCAGGAAGGTTGGAGTTAGTCTTTCTGGCTCATAGAAGTGTAGATAAAATACAGTTGGGCTATATCCACTGAGTTTGAACCCGTTAAATGGAAGGACAGACTCAGCATAACCTGATTTCTTTTAATGTCTTTGCTACATGTCTTGCTGTACCAAATCCGAAACCTTCCTGTGGCACCTGCTGAATGCCAACATCTAAGGATCACAGTATTGCCTGCCTGCTCATATCCACACTGCAGTTGCTGAAAACTAGTGGTATTTGGCTTTCGATACTAGTTCTTACGCTTTTGAAAAATCCTACACCGCTCTGCTCCCCGGTGGCAAAAACCCAGGGGTGGCGATGACTGAAGAGAACCATCACATAACATTTTAGCCTAAGCTTTAGTTTTCAAACACCCCTCCAAGGCCCTTTCAGTATCCAGGCTTGTCTTCTGAAACTCAAAGTCTTAGTTCTTGTAGCTGGGGGGTTTCCAGCCTTGGGAAGGTGGCAACTAACTCTTCTTTGCTTTTTTTTTAGATACTCTACTACTACAACCCCGCCTTTAACAGAGAGCATCCCCACCTGCTGGAAAAGTGCAAGAGGGGAGCTGGCCTCAAACGGAGAGCCCCGCATGCACCAGAGGTGGATGAAGGGCACCCCTCCAGAAGCCCAGATGGTCAGCCTGCAAGGGACACGCAGGCATCTCCACCCGTGATGATCGCACCCACCAAGCGACGGGCTGAAGCACCTCCCGGCCTCAGCAGCGCCCATCCATCTCCCCCAGCAGCTGGTCCCAGGCTTCCAGAGCCTGACAGAGCAGCAGGCATCGAGAGGTTCACCTCTCTGGCCTTCTTCTTCCTAACACCACCAGGCAGCCAAACCCCACGTGGCCTCCATCACGCTGCTCCATGGCTTGCACTGCCCATGCTGGCAGCAGCCTCAGCTCTGCTGAAGCCAAGGCCACCCCATGGCCAAAGCCGCAGAGTCCGCCACTGCCCCACCTGCACCTGCAGCCCCAGCCCTGCAGATGCAGGCAGCGCCGTTGGACCCCAGCGCGGCACATTCTAGAGAGAACACAGAGAGTCGTCAGCAAGTCAACGGTGTCTAATTAATAGTGTTCTTAGGAGATAGAGCTTAATAGATTTAGTAAGAAACAGAGCATAGAAGAGTTGGTAATAAACTGTTGGAGTAATAAAGCTTTCCCATTTGTCCTGTCCTGCAGCTTTTCCCATAAATGTTCCTCTTTTTTTCTGGCTTCTTTGAAGTGTTACACTCCAAGACCCCCTGGCCCGACGCATAGCCCTTGGCAGCTTCATGAGGCACCACCGGTGTCACTGGGGGACCCTCCTGCCCCAAAAGATGCCGCGGCAGAAGACAATGAGATGGTTGCGGGTGCCTACCGGTTTTATTAGCAGCCTCGTGTTTGGGTTCCCAACCCCACACTGAGGGCGCTGGGGCACAGGATGGCGTCACCTTGCCCACCCTGGTGTCCCTGGCGGGGGGGGGGGGGAGAGGGGTGTCACTCAGCGAAGCCCTGGATGTCGCAGCGGGGTCCCTGCCACTTGTCATAGCACTGGCAGCTGAACTCCTCGGCCAGCCGGGAGACGTCGTCACCAGACTCCACGCTCTGGGCCACCAGCCAGGGCTTGCCGGCTTGCAAGTCGATCGTGAAGCGGAAGGCATCGAGGTGGAGGAAGCCCTGCTTGTTCTCCTGACGCACGCAGCGGCCCTGGCCGGAGCACAGGCTCTGGCTGCACAGATCGGCGCTGGCCGTCACGTTGACGATGTAGTGGCCCAGGGGCCCGTCCACGTAGTCCTTCAGCCTCAGGCACATCTCCTGCAATGACACAGCAGTGTCACAGCCCTGCACGGCCGGGGAAGGGGGGGTCCCCGCACGGTGCCACCCGCCGCACTCACCTTGGACATGCTGTCGTTGAGGCTGCCCCAGAGGATGATGCCAGCAGCGCCCTGAGCCGCGCTCTCCCCGATGGTGTTCATCAGGTCCTCCTGCACCCGAGGGGAGAGGAGAAGTCAGCGGTGCCCAAAGCCCCTGCGCTGCCCCAGCAGAGCTAAAGACTCCCCAGCATCAACCCGTCAGCCTGAGAGGTGCCCACCATCCCCATGTGCCCATCACCTGGGAGAGAAAGTCGACAGTGTGGTCGAAGGTGATCTGGGAGTAGGGCAGGACAGGAATGCCGCCATCAAGGACGCCACGCTGGACGGCAAAAGCCTCGGCCACGCGGTGCCGGACGTAGGCGAGCGCCTTGTTGGTGCCGTTGAAGGAGGGGGGTAGGTAGATGCTGGGGTAGAGCGCCTGGCTGCTCTCCCAGAGCCACCACAGCTCCTTGTTCCTCTGCTGCTCCACTGCCGGGCACATCCCGGTGTAGGGCAGGCTGTCAAAGTTGTTGTTGTAGCAGTCGGGGAAGCCGTAGAAACCCCAATAGCCGTTGGGACGGAGGGTCTCGCCCAGCCACAGGGTCTGCTCCATGAAGTTCCGGGCACTCTGCTCAAACTGCTGCTTGGCCGTCTCCTTCACCAGCTTGGGGGGCCACTGCGGGTGCTGCTGCCGCACCAGCTCCTCCGACTTCTGCTGGTAGATGTCCATGGAGGCCCAGTTGCGGATCCACAGCGGGCGCCACTTCTCCCAGTCGATGACGGCCAGCCCGCCGTAGGCAGGGCTGGGCAGGGTGACCTCGATGTCCCGGGTGGCCTGGTAGAGGTGGGCCTGCAGGCTGGCATTTTGGGGGAGCCCCCCGTTCACTGGCACCCCCTCAGATGTGTAGTAGGGGAGAAGCCCCAGCTCCTTGCTGTAGAAGAGGGTGATGTCCTGCCCGATGAAGGACTGCTGGTCGTTGGCCAACACGTCGAAGATCTCCAGGTTGAGGGTGACATTGTACTTCTTGGCACAGCGCTCGGTGGGGATGTTCCAGACGGTGACGAAGGGGCGGTTGACAAGGACGGGGCCAGGCCCCCCAGCGTGGGCCGGGGCGGGCAGGAGCAGCAGGAGGACCCAGCAGGACCACCCCGATGCCATTGTGCCGGCAGGCGCAGGATGGGTGCCAGAGCTGCTTGGGGAGAGCTGAGACAGGCTGAGACCTCAACGCTTTTATCCCCAGCCCAAGCTGGGGCTGGCATTAATCCACACCCCCGTCCCCGAGCAGTGCCAGTCACCCAGGGTCACCTCTCCCACCTCCTCACGTGAAGTCCCCAAAGTTGTCAGCAGCCGGAGCCCAGCACGGTGTCCCCGGAGCAGGGACAGCAGCGTGCCAGGGACTGGCGGCGGCGGGCCCGGCTGGGGAGGAATGCGCAGAGTCAACACCCGGTGATGGGGCCGGCGATGAGCTGGACTGGAAAGACAAACAGACACGGACGGGGGCGGGGGGGCCCAAGGTCACGGTGACGGACATGGGCTGCGCCGGGCGGGTGCTGCTAGGGAAGTGTGGAGCATCGGGAGAAGGGCACTGCGGGGAGGAAGCCCACGGCATGGGGCAGGACCGGGCAGAACGCAGCCCGGGGAACAGTGGTGGCACAGGAGGGCACCGTCCACGGACACGCGTGGCACAGGACGGCACCTTCCAGGGACACGCACAGCGGCCGAGGGGTGCTGTGCCACGCAGGGTCGATCGTCCCGGCACCACGGGGCCGGGCCGTGTCCACGGGCGTCCCGAGGACGGGGCAGAGCCGGGAGCGGCCGCAAAGGGCACGGGCAAAGGCGCGGCCGGGCTGCGCCGGGGACGCTGTGGCACGGCGACGGGACCCACGCGAGGGCACCGCTGGGGGACA